CTCGGTCGTCAAACAACTTCATTAAGGATAGGCTCAATGAAGTTGTTTGACGACCGAGCTTCATGACGATTATATAGTCAATAAATCGTCTTAACCATGCGACTGTCCTAATCAACTTGAGCCAGGTTGAAGAACGAGACGACAGAACTTCAATAATTAGGATGGAACGGACACTTGCGTATGCTATCTGAGCTCGTTTCACTTCCGGGTCATCAAAAAGTAATGGAGATGGATCGCAATCACCGGGCCAATGTTCTTCACTCCGAGCCAAAAGCTGTGGTCCATGAAGCCACATCATTATTTTTGGTCCACTGGCACTTGTGGAACCTCTAGATGCTACATCAGCGGGGTTTTGACCAGAGAGTACATGTCTCCAATGCTGGACAACGCTTATGTCTCTTATCCTAGATTCTCTTTCTACTGGTTTACATTCGAATCTTTTGTAATTTTCACATAGTATTCATCTTTGTGCAATTTTAATGCTCGTTCTTATTCAGCGGAATTTTATCATTCCGATTTCTACGATGATCTTGAAGTTGAAACTGTGTTGCACTACATCATCAAATGGAACATTATAACAACATTCCACTCCATTGAACATTTTTGCACGATTATTGATTTCAACAATCAGTTCACCTTTGTTTGAACATTTGGTAGTGCTTTAAGTGGTGGCATTGTAATTTTATCATGTCTCCTTTGATCATGCACCATTCGCATGTCTCTCGTTGTAAACCGAGAAATATAGTGATCACCTTGATCACCTTAATTATATTCACTGCGACCTTAAATTTTTATTTTTATTTTTTCTTTCCCTTTTGGTCCTCTCTTGTACGGAGGATTTGTTGTACATTTGATCATGCATGCTTAACAGGGCTCCGTGAAATATACAATTATTATTATTATTATCATTATTCTCACTGTTTGCAACGAACGTTGCAAGCCGTACTGCGTCATTACGAATATATTGTAAGACAATGGTGGAGTCCGTCCATAAATCGCACGATCTATATGGACCTTCAACTCTTCTATAATGATTCTCATCAATTTAGCTGTCAGTACCGCTGCGAAAAGTTCTAGGCGTGGTATGGTAGCAAATTTCTTAGGAGCGACACGGGATTTTCCTAACACAAAGCGGCAGTGCACGTCGCCATTGGACTTAAAGCGAAGATAGCTTACCGCGCCGTATCCTATCTCGGAGGCGTCGCTGAACAAATGCAATTCTACGGTAGACGCGCATGGTGTTTCTTGTAGTAAACAACGCTTCAACCTCACAGACATGACCGACTGTATACTCCGTAGCCACCTCGACCACCTATCACGTTCAACTTCGTTCACTTCGGTATTCCATGATGTGCCACAATAGCTTAATTTCTGAAATAAAAGGCGCGCTGGAAGTTACATAGGAGCTACTATCCCAAGAGGGTCGTACAACGATGCGACACAACTCAGTATACCTCGTTTCGTAAACGTCGAGGCCGGAAGACGCAACTCAAATGTGAAACTATCATCAGAGACACGCCAATGAACTCCTAGAGCCCGTTGATCAGACCTCTGCAAATCAATGTCCACCTCAGTCGCTTGAGTTGAAGTGCTTGGGATATCTGACAATAAATCAGGACAGTTGGAAAACCACTTGGTGAGATGAAATCCACCATTTCGTAACATATCTCCTAGTTCTTTCACTAGTAACTTGGCCTCCATGATGCTTTGCACGGAAAACAAGCAGTCGTCAACATAAAAGTTATCCTTAACAGTATTGACTGTCGAGGGTGAGAAGNGAAGTGTTTGGGATATCTGACAATGAATCAGCACAGTTGGAAAACCACTTGGTGAGATGAAATCCAACGTGTCGTAACATATCTCCTAGTTCTTTCACAGGTAACTTGGTCTCCATGATGCTTTGCACTGTAAACAAGCAGTCGTCAAAATAAAAGTAATGCTTAACAGTATTGACTGTCGAGGGTGAGAAGCTAGCTATGTTATCGTCTGCCGTGCGCCTCAAAGAAAAATTTGCGCAAAATGGAGACGAAGTCACTCCGAACGGATGGACATTCATCTCGTAAACGTCATAAAAACGTCGTATAAAGAAGGGCTTCTGTTCTGAGTACATCACTACCACCTGTAAACGGTAACCCCGAAC